CAAAGATGGCTGCCAGCTTCTCTGAAGCTGGAGCAGGGGGGGGGGGCAAGGTCACCCCCCACACACACACATTCCTTTGGCCGTCCTGGCTCTCAGGAGGCCATGAGCTTCTTGCTCCTCTCTCAGTGCATACTGCACTTTAGGACTCCTCTCAGTCCACCACCCCCTCCTCTTTCTCGGAGGGGTCTCTAGCGAGTTTGGGGGTTTTGGTTATCCAGTTCTTACCCCCGGAACTCTGTCTGTGCCGTGGTCTCGATTCTCTTCCTGCTGCTGCTTTTCCTTCTCCTCAGACATCTCTGTGTCTACCATGCAGCATACCGGCTTCTGCTGTTCCTTTGGTCCTTATCAGTTGGCTCTTTGCCACTGCTCTTCGGACGCTGCTGTGTCTACTGCTGCTCCGTCTGCTCCCAGCGTCTCCCAAGGCTGCCTACCGGGAGAAATTCTCCCAGCTCTTAGCCACAGGCACTCAGCCCAGTTCTGAGTCCCTGCAGCCCCCCAACCGGGGCTGGGGGGGCAGAGCCCCCTAAGGGGCCGGAGCCCCAGCTCCTCGTGGCTCACCACAACATGGCCACCTCTTCTTCTTCCAACAAGTACCACTGCTTCTTTTCCGGTCCAGAGAGATATGTTTATATTTTGCAGGAGCAATGATTGGGTCAAGCCCCAAGGGTCACCACCCCCTGGGGGTTACCACTTTCCTAGTTTCAGGGGGAAAACCTGGCTCAAACCACTACAGTGGTTTATTGGATAAACACAGCAATGCTGTGTCAGGTCTGCATCAAGACTTCTTCCATGTACATATGGAAAGTAGTTTTAAACACTGCTCTCATCACAATAAAAGTCACAAGAAGAGAAGACATTTCTCTGACTCCTTTTAGAACTCAGATGTTGGCTGTAATCCTTGAAGTAGATTATGTATCATGATCCAAGGTTAGCTGAGTGCAAAAGATGAACATTTTGTTGCTTTCTTTTCCTTGTGAGAATCCTTGCCCCAGAACAAAATGTTGTAGAAAGAAACAATGATATTTGAAGAACACCTGGTAGAAAGAAATGGTATTTGAAGAATACCTGTCTGAATTATATGATGCCTCTGAAAATATGGTACTACTGCATTTTGGAGGTAATATTTGAAGTATCAGTATTTAGTATCAAAGAGCGAACAGTCCTATCTAAAAGATTCAGAGGAGTCATATCTAAAAGATCACAGCACAGCAAGGGCTTTAGGATTTTTGAATATTGGTAGTCGTACACCTGGACCCATAATTTTCCTGGTATATACATTCCTACATCTTTGAAGTGAAGACAAAAATTCTAGGATGATAGACATTATAGACCCTGATGACTGATCATAATTACAAAATGTGCATACAACCCAAACCCACATTTACAGAACTCCGTATGTTACCAGAAAATCCTTAGCTTCTCCAAAGTTCAAAAAAATATATTAAGACAACTATTTAAAATACTAAATATCTTCAGGCTGCGATCTTCAAAGTTCAAGAGTCTGTTATATTTTTCATGCTTAGCAGTTATCATCTGCCACTGCAATCAGTAAGCAAAAAGCTGAAAAATACATTTTTCAATCAAATATATGGATGCTATACTATCATTACATTTCCTGTACCACAGATGTTGCCTACAAATCTGCCCTGGTTCCCTTGGAACATATATTTCCACGGTTCCTTCACAAGAAAAATATAAAATCAAACCTAATATTTTTTTAAGTCTCTAAGAAACCCAAGAATATTGCTCACCCTGTCAGAACTAAAATTAATTACTTTAAAACCTGGGGTTGGGTAGTAGTTTCCAAATGCCAATATATTCAGCTGTTTTATGAAAGTAGAAAGTTTCACGTGGAGATATAAATAATTAGAGTGTTTTTAGATCAGACTTTGATAACTTAAATTACTTGATTTGAATGATAAATTCATAAAGTTAGTGCTGATTCTTTGCTTTTGGATTTAACATTTCATTTCCTATTACTCATCATGGTAGTGAGTATTGCTCACTGAGAACTAGTTTAAAGTTGTGCCTGAATATCTGGAGACGAAGGGATGTAGGAGAGAGATGAATGGCTTACTTATGGTAACCACCCAAGCTGAGCATGAATTCATGGTATGCAAATTGCAGCATTAACAATCATCTCTACTAATCATTACATCTGAAGTTGACCGAACTGAAATCAATCTGTGGTATGTTGTGACATATTAGTGTTCATTGTCAGCTTATTTCAGAAGAGAACTATCACGACATGGTTCCATATCACTTAAAAAAACAGGTAGTCCTGCCTATGTAACCCATACTTTTCTTAATTTTGCTCATTCTCTGCTGGTGATATTACATTACTAAATAACTAATGACTAAATTAGGACAAGTAAAGGCTGGATTTTTATGAACTTCCTCAATATCTGGTCTGTCTTCAGTGATACTCGCAGCACATTTTTTAGGTTATTAACTGATTTGATGACTGCAACTAACTGTCTTTATCACTATATTGTTTAAGTCCATTTTAAGAGGTGCCCATACTGGAGTATCCATACATGAGCCTCATGTTTATGCAAATAACACAAAATATTTGTTTTGAAGTTTGTATAAGAATAAACTGTTTGTGTTTGTTATCTACACACTCACTTTTAAAGGCCCTGGATCAAAATTTCAGAATGATCTATCTGTTCATTATTAACTTTCTGTAGGAATTGCTGTTCAGTAAAATAACCTGAGAGTATAGATTAATTTGTTAGGCAATCTCCTGATTACAAACTGCCCACAAAGAAATTTTTGAGCACTAAAAACATATACACACGCACAAAAAAACCAAAATGCATGTGACTGCATTTCTATGTCTGAGTATTTTAAAAAAGTTCTACAAAAGCAGGTTACATGTGTCACCATTTGCTTTAGCCAGATACTAATAATGAATATTAGGCAGCCTCCTGTTGGCATCAGATATGTTACAAGACTGCAAGGCTGGACACACTCCAGTGATTTAATTATGTAAACAGACAGTAACACGATAGCAGACAGAGGAAGAAATTAATCTAATATCCTTTATGTGTCTCTCCTTTTTTTTTTTTTGTTAAAATACTGATAGACACCAGAAGTATCCCCCATCTATCTGTTCATAGCTCCCTCCTTAGCTGATGAGGCCAAGATGCCTGGTGAGACTCAAAGACAGTAAATGTCTGCCCCTGCCATGCTCAGTGCTGCTCTCAGGTCTCCATGGGAAGAGAGAAGGGTCTTTGGTAGGGCTCCTGGTGGTTCCATTAGGAGTGAGGGAAACCTTAGGTGGCTGCAGCTGGCCCATAACTCCTGCAGTCTGGTGCCTTCACTCTCTCCCTCAGTTGCTGCTGCTCTACATTTCACCTTTTAGCCCAGTAAGGATCTCATAAGGCAACTGGTTGAGAAGCACTGAAGCTCAAGACCCCTGTTTTTTCTTGTCAGGGGAAGAGGCTTCCTGTGGAGCTGACTGCCTTTATTTAAAGGCTCTCTCTCCAAACTGACATAAAGGAGGAGATTGTCCTTACAATCTGTCCTTTGTCCTTTTTGTCCTTGTCCTCTCAGTTTTATGTTACTGAGGGTGATTAACACAGTGAAACACGTAAAACATGAAACATTCCTATACAGCAGTGTTGAATCAAAATCCCAAATGTGTCTGCTATGGCACAAACAGCCTGTTCAGAAAAAAATGATTGAGCATACAGAAACCTGTGTAAAATCAGCACAAGTGTAAGGTGATAGATAAGACTACACTAAAGGAGAAAAAACTCCTGCTAGTTTCCTGGAAGACCCCAGCTCCTGGGGAGACATTCCCAGAAACTAATAAGAGGATTAAATGAAGAAAGGAGTGATATGGTGATAACACAGCTTTTCTTCACAAACATCCTGCCAGTCGGGAACACGGGAAAGTGACCCTTGGGCCTATGTCATTTGTCTATTACCCCAAAATTAGTTTATTGACTGGGGGACCCCTGGTGGTCTAGCGGTTAGGATGCAGCACTCTCACCGCCGCAGCCCAGGTTCGATTCTCAGTCAGGGATACTCCCCCAGACAGATGGAGCTCGTCAGCCCTGTAAGGCCATCCATCCATGAGGAGGTCACTGTAAACAAACCTACGTCCTGAAGACCTGACTGCCATTGTCCAAGCTCGCTTGGCCCCGGTAGATGAACCCTAGGATTAAAGGGTGGGCTCAGTTCAGCACATGCTGTGTCTCACCTAAAAAATCCATTGCGCAGGCTCGAAAGGTAAAAGACCTCTCCCAAAATCTTCGTTTGCAAAGACTGGCCATACATACATCAGTTTATTGACTATAGCCACTCAAATTGCCTAAGAAAAAAGGTGTAAAAAGAGATTAGACATAAGCAAAATCAGGGGAGAAGTTCCATCAACACTGCAAGAGACAGCTGACCAGCTAGCCCTTGTCCCTCCACTTCTGGGGACACCTAGAAGATGAGATGTATCTTATGAATGCTAATTACTTGCTTCTAAATAACTAGAGTTTACTTTTGCTTCATAGTATTCTTAGTAAGTTGCTTTGCTTCAAAGTTTTTCTTATGTTTTTCTTTATTATTATTACTACATGGTGTAGATGTAGTTAGACGTTATTCCAGATGAAATTAACCCTATAAATTGTTACAAACTTGTGTTAATAAGCATGTTATTTCATGAACTGTTAGACTGAGTCTGTTTCTAGGTGCTGACAGCTTTGTTGACGGTGAAACAACTCATAGAAGAAACTTGCTGAAGGGTTTTCCTATCGCTGTTAAGTGTAGTCTCTATTAAAAAAAGTATCAAATGTCCTATCTGTCTCAGTGAACCTGAAAAGTGAAGGATCTCACCTAATGAGACACTAACAGACTGTTTTAGACATTAAAAGGCTTTGGTCTCCTGGGGGGACACTGATTGACAAAAATAAATTAATAAAGGTTGGACAGAAAATTCTTTTCTGCCCCTTTTAACATGACAACAAGATAAGCATAATCATAGTTATGCTTACATTCCTGTGGAGGAGAAGAAATCAGACTGGGAGAGATACAAAGCCTGGCGTGAATTATATGGAGCCTGAAAAGACTATTTGCTTATGGACATTCGTGTTATTCCCCAGTTCTGAACCCAGTTTTATGTACCCTCACAATTATCCCCATATTACTCCCTATGGTTTATATTGTTTAGGGCTTGTTCAGACTTGCCCTCACAGTTTTCCCTCCAAAAGTTGTTTACTCCCTTGTTCTCCCCTGCTTTCCCGCTCCTCTGTCACTGATTGGCTGGAGTTTGCCGCAGTGCAGAGAGAGCTACCATTGGTCCCTTCCCCTGGATACCCAGAAGTTACACCCACCTTTCCCTCATCTCCCAATCCTGTTTTACCCTAACCTGTCAATCCCTTGCTCTGCCCCAGTTGTGGAACCTCCCCTTGCCCAAACCCTATTTAAGTCAGCGTCTCCCTCAATAAAGTTGCCATTGCACCCTCACCTCCTACTGTGTGAGAACCCTCTGTGCAGTGCTGCGTCCCTATTCCCCTACCCTCGGGCCGTGGCACATTCCTGTATAAAAACAGGCCGTTCAAATGAATTAATCAGTACACCACTGACTGGCCAAGCAAATGAGCATGAACTGGCAGGGACTAGGGCCACTAAAAAAGCTCCTCTGAAAGAGGTCCTGAAAACCTGGACCAAAGATTCAGCCTCCTCAGAGGATCTCTGCTGGAGCTTTTTCAGACTTTACCTTCTATGAATTGCATTGGTGGGCTGCTGCACTGGCATTTGGTGTCTATACCTTATGGCTTGGATTGCAAAGCATGTGAGCATAGTTAGTGCTACTTAAAAGAACAATAACTAATCAGCTTTAGGGAAGAGATGATACTGCTTTCTGCAAACGAATGCATGCTTCACTCTCTTACCTAATCATGTCCTCCTTTTTTCTCAGGAACACAGGAACACTCCACTGGAGTGGAATGAGAGCTGGATTTAAATCCCATATATAATCAGGCTGTGTGAATGAGATGAAGTCTCAGTTCAGTCTCCTCCCCTCTCCCTGCTCAGTGGGTGCTGACACAAGAGCAGAATTTATTGCACAGTAACTATATCACAATTGCTATTTGCAGTTGTCCTTTTTAAGTTATAACATCAAGAAATAATATTTCAGGGCCAGATGTACTATTTAATCACTCCTCTCCATTCAGTTTTGTGAAAGTTGTTAGACAAATAGGATGGTGAATATAGAATTAACATAAGGCCCTGACATGGTTTTTGAGGGAGCAGTTGTTTTATTACCTATCCTCTGCTGTAATTTTCTCATCATTTGATGCTTCAAAAATGATGAGTTCAGGAAACTTTGATTTAGGAGCATTCATGCTTCCAGCTAACATTCTGAACTTGCTTTATGAAACCCATTTCAGAGGTTAATCTCTAGCAAGTCTTTCAATATATACAACGGGAGGAAGCTGTGTACTGGTTTTGACTTTGGTGGTCACCCATAGGACTGTCCATCCTAGAGTTTGCATATATGAGGAAAGCTGTTTGAAGATCTAAAAACTGAAAAGTAGGTATAGCTATATTTACTAGCCTACTTTAAATCCGGTTTCCTTTTTTTCAAGGGTTGGAAGGATAGGATGGTCAGGTACACAATGCTTGTCAATCTGCAAATGCAACAGCCTTGTTTTTCTGTAGGGAATGAGAAATTCTTTCTCCAGTTCTCTGCAGAACTATTTTCTATGAATTTAGGGAGCTTTTATCAAGTGAAACTAAGAATAATTGCTATCCCTGGAGCTCCTAAATCCTCTCCTTGTGAACAGTGCTTCAATGCAAAATACACATTCTATCGAAGATTTCCTCATCAGTTGGATCTTTGTGATTTTAGTGCAGGGTATAAAGAATTAAAAAAGTCTGGGTACTCTTTGACACTACAGAAAGAAAGGGAGGGAAACATTCAACCTAAGAAAAAGCAAAGACATCAACAACAAGGTACCTTTTCTTTAATGTTATGCACAGAAGAAACTGTCTTTTGAACTGCCCTGTAAGGTCCTGCAAAGATATAAAACATCCAGCAGACATCAGTAAGAAAAGAATAGGGAGTTTCCTTCTTATTGTCTTGTTGGGTGGTCTTTTCAATTAGCTGCAGATGAACAGGAATTTTCTCTCAGAAATAACGTAAAAAAGGAAAGTGTATGCCCAATGGAAGCAAGGTCAAGTGACATGGGAAGAGTTAAAAGATGCTGCTTGCTGCTGTAGGGAGAAAATTCATTTGTCCAAAGCTCAACTGGAGTTGAAACTGCCAGAAATGTGGGGTAAAATAAAAAGAATTTTTTAATTTTTAAAAATATATTAACAACAACACGAAGTATAGAAATATCATTGGATGAGGATGGTCACCTCACAAACAGGGACAGAAATAAGGCAGAGGCATTTTACCCTCTTTGCCTCTGTCCTCAGGTCTCAGTGACCTGAGCTGGAGGACCATGACTGTGAAAATGATCATCTCCCAGTCAACTCTGAAATTGTTCAGGATCTGCTGCTCCAGCTGGATCCCTGCAAACCTATGGGGCCTGATATAATTCATCCCAGAATCCTCAAAGAGCTCTTTGATGTCATTGTAAAACCTCTCTCAATGATTTTTGAGTGGTCTTGAGACTATGGAGAGGTCGCAGCTGACTGGAAGCTGGCGAACATTGTCCCGAATTTCAAGGGCGCAAGAAGGAGGACCCTGGAAACTACAAGCCTGTCAGTCTTGCTTCAATGCCTGGAAAAGTTATAGAGAAGATTATTCTGGGAGGTATTGAAAAACATCTGAAAAACAATGCAGTCATTGGTCACAGCCCGCACGGCTTCATGAGAGGAAAGTCCTGCTTATCAAACATGATTTCCTTCTATGACAAGGTAACCCATCTAGTTGATCAAGGGAAACCAGGTGATGTCATCTTTTTGGATTTCAGTAAAGCTTTCAATACTGTCTCTCACAGGATCTTTCTGGACAAAATGTCCAGCACACAGCTGGATAAACACATCATGTGGTAGGTGAGCAATTGGCTCACGGGTCCAGCACAGAGGGTAATAGCAAATGGGGTAACATCAGAGTGGTCACCTGTCACTAGTGGGGTTCCACAGGGCTTCATCTTAGGCATCTTCATCTTAGGCATCTTCAACATCTTTATCAATGACTTAGAGGAAGGACTGGAAGGGATACTAAGCAAGTTTGCAGATGACCCAAAACTGGAAGGAGCTGTTGACTCCCTTGAAGGCAGGGAGGCCCTGCAGAGAGACCTCGACAAGTTAGAGGACTGGGCAATCACCAACCATAGGAAGTTCAACAAGGGAAAGTGCCGGATTCTGCACCTGGGGTGGGGCAACCCTGGATGCTTGTACAGACTGGGAATGAGATGCTGGAAGGTAGTGCTGGGAAAGGGAACTGGGGGTCCTGGTCGACAGCAAGTTGAACATGATCCAGCAGTGCCCTGGCAGCCAGGAGGGCCAACCATGTCCAGGGGGGCATCAGGCAAAGCATCACCAGGTGGGTGAGGGAGGGATTGTCCTGCTCTGCTCTGCACAGGGGCAGCCTCACCTTGAATATTGTGTGCAGTTTGGGGCGCTGCAATATAAGAAAGATATTAAGCTCTTGTAGAGTGTCCAAAGGAGGGCAATAAAAATGGTGAAGGGTCTTGAGGGGAAGCCGTATGAGGAGTGGCTGTGGTCTCTTGGTCTGTTCAGCCTGGAGAAGAGGAGACTGAGGGGAGACTTCATTGCAGTCTACAACTTCATTGGGAGGGGAAGAGGAGGGGCAGACACTGATTTCTTCTCTGTGGTGACCAGTGACAAGATCCGAGGGAATGACCTGAAGTTGTGTAAGGGGAGGTTTAGGTTGGATATTAGAGGTTCTTCACCCAGAGAGTGGCTGGGCACTGGAACAGGATCCCCAGAGAAGTGGTCAAAGCACCAAACCTGACAGAGTTCAAGAAGTGTTTGGACAATACTCTCAGACACATGATGTGAGTCTTGGAGATGGTCCTGTGCAGGGCCAGGAGTTGGACTTGATAATCCTTGTGGATCCCTTCCAACTCAGCATATTCTATGATTCTGTGATTCTGTGGTCTGGCACAATATCACCTTCTGTGATTTAAGGGCTTGACAAACAAGCCACAGCATCAAAACTGCTCTTATGGCACAGTCTCCAGTTAGCAGGTACTGAAGGTCAGTGTGACATTTTTCTGAGCAAAATAGGCAAGTGGGGGCCAAAGATGCTGTCCCAGACCAGTAAAGGCATATGAAGAAACCCAGAGGTAAAACACTAAAATAGGTATTTTCTCACTAATAATATTGCATTTAAAGTAGCAAACATGAGAAAAAGGCCTGTGATTGTCAGAGTGCAGTGAACAAGTTCATAAAATCCTACTCTGATTAAGTTCAGAAATTTATGATCTGAATCAGTTTGACTCCTGAAGCATGGCAGAGAGATCCTCCCTCTCCCACAAGACTATGCCTCTGTAATCCTTTGGGTCTTTTTATTTAGCCTCAGCCTTAGAGTCCCATACTGAGGGGAGGAGTGGCAAAGAATTTCCTTGTTTGCAACTATCCTAATTTGTTGACTCCAGCATGTCCTTGGAAGGTTTAATATCATCAAAGAGCCTGATGTCTCTTTCCACAGAACTAAATCACACAAAGAGGTTAAAATAAAGGTGTTTTAACACCACAGTGTGCCTAAGACTTATTTCACTGGCTGCTGTTGCATTAAATGACAGAGCTCTCATTTCTTTCTGGTACTCTGAGGTGCTACATCACCTCTAGGACCATCCATGGGTCACTTTTCTACATTGTGAAATATGTCTGAGAAGAGCATGAAAATCAGAAACTCCAGTATATATTGAGAATGTGTGACTGCAGCATCATCAAAACCTTGCTAACCCACAGCACCTCACCCCCAGGAATAGCATTTTCTTCTAGAAAACACGATCCATAA